TGGTCAGAATGAAGATCTTACAGTGCTGTGTGGTCAGAATGAAGATCTTACAGTGCTGTGTGGTCAGAATGAAGATCTTACAGTGCTGGCATGTGGCTCAGTGGGTTAGGGTGCCGTTCCTGTAATTAGATGGTTGCTGGTTCAAATCCCAGGGTGGGCAGAGGGAATTCACTATTGGGCCCCTGAGTGAGGTTCTTAACCCCCAACTTCCCCAGGGACAGGCGGACCCTTCCTTGGATAAACGTGTCTGCTATATAAATAACTATTCAGGGAAGTTAACTTGGGTTTAATTACATAATATACATTATATTGGCAAAAGTATCAGGACACCTGCCTTTACACACACATGAACTTTAATGACATCACATTCTTAATACACAGGCTTTAATATGGAGTCGGCCCACCCTTTGCAGCTATAACAGCTTCAGCTCTTCTGGAAGGCTGTCCACAAGGTTTAGGAGTGTGTTTATGGGAATTTTTGACCATTCTTCCAGGAGAGCATTTGTGAGGTCAGGCACTGATGTTGGATGAGAAGGCCAGGCTCTCAGTCTCCACTCTAATTCATCCCAAAGGTGTTCTATTGGGTTGAGGTCAGGGCTCTGTGCAGGCCAGTCAAGTTCCTCCACACCAGACTCGCTCATCCATGTCCTTATGGACCTTGCTTTGTGCACTGGTGCGCAGTCATGTTGGAACAGGGAGGGGCCATCCCCAAACTGTTCCCACAAAGTTGGGAGCATGAAATCATCCAAAATGGCTTTGAATGCTGCAGTATTAAGAGTTCCTTTCACTGGAACTAAGGGGCCAAGCCCAACCCCTGAAAAACAACCCCACACCATAATCCCCCCTCCACCAAACTTCACACTTGGCGCAATCCAGTCTGGCAAGTACCGTTCTCCTGGCAACCGCCAAACACAGACTCGTCCATCGAATTGCCAGACAGAGAAGCGTGATTCGTCACTCCAGAGAACACGTCTCCACTGCTCTACAGTCCAGTGGCAGTGTGCTTTACACCACTGCATCCGACGCTTTTCACTGCACTTGGTGACGTAAGGCTTGGATGCAGCTGCTCGGCCATGGAAACCCATTCCATGAAGTCAGGGGCGTTGCTAGAGATTTTGGGCCCCATGAAAGCATATCATATTAGGCCCCCCAGTCCAAACCAATCCAGTTATTTTCCTAATTTTTTAGGGCCCCTGCCGCTCAGGGGCCCTTGGAATCGTCCTAGCTTTCCTCCCCCTTACGGCGCCCCTGCATGAAGTTCTCTACACACTGTTCTTGGGCTAATCTGAAGGCCACATGCAATATAGTGCATGTAAAAATTACTTTGATTCATTTAAGGCTACGGGACTCTCAGATTTCACCACTGATGCAGTTTGAAATGTTATTAAAGGTGAAGGTGCATTTTAAAGGTGAAGGTGTATTTTAAAGGTGAAGGTGTATTTTAAAGGTGAAGGTGCATTTTAAAGGTAAAGGTGCAGTTTACGTCACTCTTGGGTACAGCAGCTGAGCTTAAGCACTGACACCCGCAGATGTTCGAGCGCGAGACCAAGCGGGAGAAGATCCTGGAGGCTCGGCAGAGGGAGATGCGGGTGAAGGAGCGGAGTCGCTCGGAGCAGAGCAAGGAGGACGAGGGCCGGGACACCGACGCCGGGGACGAGAGCGCCGAGCAGCTGCTGGCCCGCGCAGAGAGGGACTTCTTCGAGATCGTGGGGGCGGAGCTGAAGAAGAGGGAGCTGGAGGCGGGGCAGGAGCAGATCGGAGCGGAAGAGGTCGGTCATAAGCATACTCTGGGCCACGTAGCTTACAGAACAACTGAGCTATGCAGCTGGAAATCAAACCCTTCCTTTCTTTTCTCACTCTAGTTCAGGGGTATGTATAGGGGCGGGGTCACAGGGACACTAGCCTGAGCTGAAAGCTGATTGGCTCCCAGAGTGCCCCTCCCCTGTCACTCAGGGGAGGGGCTAACGAAAAGCTTGGCCCCTCTTATTCCCTCCACCTTAAAAAACTGTAGAATCACTCCTGTTGTAGTTTTGTCTTTTTTTCCATAATCACCAGTTTTTTGTATGGGTGATATTTAACAGCATGTCGTAGCTGGTCTGGATGGACCGCTGTCTCCCACAACCACGCGATTGGTCTGGCTCTGACATCACAAATTGGCAGTGGGTGTGGCCTACAGCCCTGGGCACGTGTCATATCCTGTGATGGCTGCCTGCAGGGTTAACGGCTCTCACTTGGGCCACAGATACAGATAGCTGCATGTCGCTGTGCAGTGCTTCTCCGAGATAAGGGCTCACGGGGCTAAATGTAGCTGCTGGCCTGGCTTGAGGGCTAGAGGACGAGTGAAATGGAGAGCTGCTCTGCAGCCAGACGGGCCGCTCTGGCGAGAGGCTGCACACTTGAGCTTCTGGGTACGGCTGCAGACGGCTGCTCACCACTGACAGGGGAAAAGGCCTCCAGGCCAAGGGCCACAAGGGCCACAAGGGCCACAAGGGCCACAAGGGCCAGTGCCGGATCCTGCCTTTCTCAGATCGTTCTGTTAAGGGTGTAAGAGAAACGTCACAATGGCAGCTGGGAGCTCAGGGCCACCAGCACCTGGACTGTAATTTGCAGTGTCTTCCTCTCCAGGTGAAGGATGTCTGTGACGAGGAAGACCGCTGAGGATGTGCACCGTGAGACTGCTACGCCATCAAGTCATCAGGGAACAGTACAAGTGTTTATTTAATGTAAAGAGACGACACATGAATCATACATCAGAGTGAAGCTGAACAGGGACGATGGAACTGTATCTTTAACCAAAGGACATTTCTGCTGTGTGACCTCACCTCTGATTCACGCTCTCGCCTCCATCGAGGGCAACAAGGACTATGGGTAGAAAAGAAGGGAAAAAATGACTGTGAAAGCAGCACATAGTAGGTATGTAGCCACACAGTTACATTACAGGTTTGTTCTTCCCCTTAAAATTTGTTTGCTGCTAATCTGGCATGTAGCCGGCAAGTTTGAGTCCTCCTTGAAATTTGCTTTCGGTGAAATCTACCAAGCCCCTCAGTTAACGAAATATACTGACAGGGCCGTCCGCCCCCCCCCCCCCAAGGTGGTAAAATTGACCAAATGGGAGCCCCAAGATATATTTCTGGCTATTGGCCTGGTACACCACAGAGTTTAATACAGGACTGAAACTCGAATAGGGCACTAATGGTTTAAAAATTTAAAACAGCTGGAACACACCGAAAATTTCCCCTAACGTTTAGTCACGACAGGATTAGCCGTAACCATATATAACTCTCGGACCCGTCACGGCCCAAGGCGGCCTGCGGGACATCGATACGCAGCCTGTTCACGGTAGCGCAGTCAGCGCTTGGTGACGTGATTCCTCCTCCCCATGATGGAGGGCTGCCCGGTGCCGTGCAGAGGTCACTGACGTATGCAGGGCACTGTAACTTACGCTCTCGGAGGTGAGTACCCACTAATGAGCCGCGTTATATGACTGTGTGTGCTACAAAGCTGTCTTATACACAACAATAAAATGTCTATTGATAGACCTGTTGTCATGAGATTGTTTGCCTATTCATTTCAAAATGACTTGCAGTTGTAAAAGTTTCCCTGAACTGGCGTGTGTTTATTTATAGACATGTGACATGGGTTGTCTTTGAATTATGCATCCCCCTTATTGTCTTACATCTTATCTTAATTGAAATGATTACATCCCCCACAATGCACTGCGAGGTCAGGCAGACAAAGGCCTCTTTACAGCACAGTTTACATAGTATAGGGATAAAGGCTTCACTGATAACACACACCTGCTACTAACGGATTCTCCTGGTGACCAGAAGCACTTACACAGTTCGGATCGTTCCACAGCCACGGGGGAGAGGGTTGCACAGAGAATCATGTGACTGGGCCCCATAACAGGTTGGATAAGTTTGTTGAGCCAGGTGAAGGCAACACATTAAAGATACAGAAGGTGTCTAGATTGCAACTTTTTATTTGTTCATTCTTGAACACAGCAAAGCCTCTTAATCTTCAGGGTACATACAAAACACAGCATCAAGACCTTCAACATGGACCATACCAAATGGCATGCTAAAGAAGGAAGGTTTTCAACCTTGGGCAAACTGCATTTCTACCTAACCACTCATAAGGTTCAGGTCTGAGGTGATTTTACAAATGCACAAAACAATAAATCTACGGAGCTTTTCAGTCATCCAGGTCATGCTGCCTCGCGGTGTATCTGGTGGCACAGTAATACGTACAGTCGCGGCTGTGGACCGGCCGCGCGCACAGCGTGCACTGCGCCTCAGGCTGCTGCATTACCGGCTCGGCAGGTCGGATTCTGGGACACTGACAATGGACCCCGTGCAAAGTATCCGCACCGATTGTCTCTCTTCAGACAATAAACTTCCTTTCCTACTAACAATTACTCCACTCTTTGTTGAGCGATATGAAATTAAAGTAGACTTTCTAAATATGAACGAAAGAAGCAAATATATTTACACGTACAGATAAACACCTTGACGAATAAGCTTTTCACCTGCATGACAGGCAACATAAGCGCCACGCCGAGCTCCGCATGCGCCCCTTGCGGACCCCGCCGAGTGCAGTGCATCTGCCTACCAGCAGGTGGAGTAGCGGTCCCCCGAAGCTCCCGCGTCCGTCTCCCCTCCTACACCAAGAGTGTCATTGTGTACGCCTCGCCGCTGATCTCCAAGGGGAGCCGGGGGGAGCAGCCAAGAGGTGCTCGGGAGGGGACCGAGAGCTCGCCGTCATATATTCGCAGCTTCACCTAGGGCGGGTGGCGCACAGCACGCGGCTCTCTGGGCTTTAAAAACATATTAAGCGTCGCTGGGTTTTACGGGACCATCTCGGTCGGTAGCCGCACTGCCGCTGTATCTTACGGGCAGCCAAGCGCCAGCGCAGGTGAGCCGCCGGACGGCGTGCGGGTCTCTGCAGGGGCATTGATGGGCGAGACGGACGGCGACCCCCCCACGAGAGCAGCGCGAGCCAGCTGGAGTCATGAAGGACGCCGGGGAGTCAAAGGAGCACCAGCTAACGGTAAATGCAATTTCTGTCTTTCTTTCTTTTTTAAAGATCATCATTTTTTAAATACAGACATTAAATGTTGAGTTGCCATCAAAAACCATTATGAGAGAACAGCAGGGAAATCTCTTATGAATTATAATATAACGATATATGAACAGTAAAAACACATTTCTAATATGCATTACTAATACATGCGTATATTTAAATCGGAAAGCCATTAAATACCATCTTCAGGTATTCAGTCTGCTTCATCCGTGCACTGGGGGCACTTTGCGGACCCGAACAGTTCGGCGCAGTAACTTCCCCCCCATTAATACCGGCTGACAAACTGCAGGCAGAGTGAGACGTGCGGGGAAAGTCCGCTGCGGGGTCCGGTAGGGGATAGAAAGTTAGCCTGGGGTCCATGCAGTCAGGGGGAAAGTCAGGGCGCTAGACCGCGGCATCAGCTCTCCGAGATTCGCCGCAGGACGGATATCGCCGCAGTCCCGAGTCCGGGGCCGGGGAGCTGGGTGTGAGCGGGGTCAGCGTCCAAATAAAGAAGTTTACTATTACTATTATTATTATTATTGTTGTTGTTGTTGTTGTTTTGTTATTATTATTATTATTATTAAATATTTTTTATTATACTTTATATATATATATATATTTATATATGATGTGCACCGGTGTAATATATTAAAATAAAGGCTTGGAAGATGTTTTAAACAAGAGCTGTCCTCTGATGTTATTACAAGGTCCAAAGCACCGTTTGATATGAGCCTGAATATCTGGCAGTAGCAGATCGTGTTCAGACTCTGCGGCGCCCCCTGGGTCCTGTGCGAGGTGCTGCATGTCTGACTGGTGCTCTCTCCCCCCATGTCCAGGTCGCCCTGCGAATCCGACCCCTTAGCGATGTGGAGATGGAGGAGTCCACCACCATCGTGGCCCATCGGGTGGACGACCAGGTGAGTGATTCCCATACCCTGTCCTCTGTTGGGGGGATCTTGTGGGGCAGGGGTCCCGTTTTTCCCAGGGTGGCGGTCACTCAGTTCTTGTGTCACACATATAGCCACGTATTAAAATGCTGGGTTTGACCCCCACCCTGAAATGTGTTGGCTACCAGTCAGGCTGCGGGCCTGTCCTGGGCAATCGCATGAACATGCTGCTGTGAACCCAGGATTTTCGGGGGGGCTGAAGTTCATCACACAGGTGGCTCACTTAGATCCCAGAGTAACAGACCGTGAGGCGACCGCGTGTGATGATGCTGAGGATGATGATGCTGGAGGTAATTCACTGTACAGCCAGCAGGGGGACCAGAGAGGCCCGTGGAAGGAGTGGTTCCGTCGTGGTTTGTAAACCGGAGGCCCAGCGTGTTCCTGACCAACACCAGCAGCTGGCTGGTTATTTTTTAACCAGTTACCAGGCAAACGGTCCAGGCTGCCAATGAGCAAATTTGCAGCTATATTCATGATGTCAACAAACGGGCTCTTAGAAACTGTCATGGCAACCATTACAGGACGTTTCATAAGCCACTCGGGGGGGAAAAAACACAGGTGCAAACATTGAGGATTGATAAGATATCGAGTTTGATTTCCTTTAACAAACGAGTGCTGGGCCTGGATTGTTTAAAAAAAAGGCTGAGCATAGAGGTGTCGGCACCTTAAATAAAGCAGCGTTCTCATTAAGAGCAGAAAGTGGAACAGAGCTGTTATTTCGGGGAAGAGGGCCCATTCCCTGCCGTCCATCCCGCGTACGCTGGCTGCCTTTGCCACCACCATGGATTACTCACACACCAAGAGACACAACGTGGACACAAGTGTGCCAAAGAGGCATTTAACCCCCCCGGATGGCAGTGCTGCCCTGACAAATTCGCTTGCGAAACTCTGTCCATATGGTGAACATCTTGGTTATCTGCTTTATGCGGGCTGAAATCCCTGGGAAGGCGATGAGCTTAGAAGGTTCCAGAAGGCCCACAGCCACCGCCACCTGCTCCGGTCACGCCCACCACAGCGGGCCGCTAAATCATCAACAGCTCCCGCAGTCTTTCAGTGTACCGTTGGCCCTTATTTGGGTGAGGGAGTCCCCACAGCTGACATCATAATTACTAACCTAATTACTGAGATCTGATCTGTCAACACCAGCGGCTTCCCTGTTGGTTATCTTTGTGCCAGTGTACGGCACATTCTAGCACTGCGTCTGTATTCAGGCTTGGAGGTCACGAGTATCAGCAGAAAATCTCAGGAAACTATCTGAAAGCATGAGCTCCATTCTTCACTGCCCAACTGTTTCATCAGCCGGGATGAAATGATCCGGAAACATGTTACAGCAGTAATTATTTCTGCTGCTTTTTTTGCCAGATTTTTGTAACCAGAGCTGTCTTGCTCGTCCAGTAGCAGCATCAGCCTTGACTGAACCAGGACAGTGTCGTGACATTTTATTTATTAAAAAGGCACTTTGGCCAAAATGACATCCGCATTTTTTGAGAAAGCAGTGGTAGACAGTCCCTGTACGGGTTAAGACCCTTATTTAAGTGAAATCACTCTGTGGATGGTGGGATTCAAACTGATGACCTACTGGTCACGGGCGCTGTGTCTCGACCAGCTGGGCCTTTCCGTGCTTTGTCGCGAAAACTGATACCGGTGCTGGGTGGCGCCCCCCTGAGGAGGAAGCTATACTGAGGAGGTGGGGCATTAATGAGCACGGCACTCACCGGGGGCATGTGGCCCTGGCTCCACGTGGCCTCGATCCCGCCGTGTTCCGGCAGGCAATTTCCCGTCAGCGGACCTGGTCGGGAGCCATAACTCCCACGGTAGCTCATTCAATTACAGAGGGACTAATTGGATGCGTGAGGTAAGAGTTGTCCCGCTGCCTCCATGAGAGTCGATTTGCCTCTAATTTTAGCTGCGCTCCCAAACCCATCTGGAATCGCAGCTAGCCTCTGATTCTCAGGTGAAATTCATCAGTAATCAGGGACTCGGAAAACAGAAGTTTGCGGATGGTGTTGGATAGAGGAGAGCTTTCAGCCAGGGGGCGTGTCTCGCATCCTGAGGTCTGATGCCGGGGGGGGTGCGCACTGCCCCTGTGCATTTTTCTGGCTGTTAAGCCCATGACACTGAGCAAAATGCTGGGGTGACATGTGCTGTTGTAAATACAAGTTATTAGTGTTTTCTAACGACTGTGGTCCAGGTTGTGTTTGGTCGCTCCGTAGCCACGGTGACGGGGCAGCGGACGGGCGGGCGGGCAGGCCGGTTATCCGGGACCTGTGGCCGGGCCGCTTCGGCACGGGAGCGGAGCAGCGGCCCGGCAGCCCCGCCCAGAGGATGTGGCACCCGCTGCGTTAAAGGCCGTTAAGCTGCTCGTCAGCTGATGGCACATGCCTCGTAGCCAGGCCCCGTCTCCATGGTGACGGCCGGGGCAGGGCTGGCCTTTTGTTTGGCTCCGGTGCACAGTAAGGACTACGCGGCGAACGTCAAACCTGCTGGGGGGTGACAGGAAGGGGAGGGAACGCAGCACAGAATGCGGGGGTGTCCTGGTGGGGAGGGACAGGCTTTATGACCAGGGAGGCCCATCTGCTTACTGGGTTTGAGGTGCTGGTAGCTCATGGGGGGGGGTCACTGTGACACTGGCGAGACACGAACGCACAGTTTTCGTTCAAAATGAAAAAGGGGAGGAGTGAAAAACAGAAGGAAAGGGGGGGGGTCTGCTGAGGAGTGATGTGGGGCGACGGCACAAAGGTTTCATTCATTGCCCCCCCCCACTGCACCTAGGACTTCACCTGATAAGATTGTGCCTTGGGTTTGCAAAGCCTCCCCCCCCCCCCAGTTCGGACAGCAGTTGCTGAACCCAGACCGACCTGTCATGGCGTGGGGGGGTGACAGTGTGTAAGGCAGAGCTGTGTTGGCCCCCGCTTTTTTCTACACGCCAATAAAGGAGGGCCATATGTCTTTGCTGGGTCTTTGTTTCCTATAGAGCTAGAAGGCCACTCTGTGTCTCTGCTTTGGCGGGGGGGGGTTTAAAGGTGCAGTGTCCGCATCACATGGTTGTTTTGGTACGGGAGGGGGCCCATGTGCGGGAGCGGGGGAGTACTGCCTAAGAAGCGAAGGGGGTGGCAGGTCAGGGTGGAGCTCCAGACCTGTGATACCTGACCCACCACTGAGCTGCCAGCACTGCGTGGGAGGGAGTGGATGAAGCTGAAGGGGAGGGTCGACACTCTGGGAACACTGGGTGTACTGGGAACGCTGTGTTCTTATAGTGACCCAAGCTTGGCAGGCATGTTTAAGTCGTGTGTGCTGAGAATACTGAATATATTTGCTTTCAGTGGAGTGGTTTACTGTGTGCGTGTGTTTATGGGACATTTGTGTGTGTGTGTGTGTCTGTCTGTCTGTCTGTGTGTGTGTCTGTGTGTGTCTGTGTGTCCTCGCACACATGCCTGTAGGCCCTGCAGTCAGCCTGTGTGATGTACGGCACCCTGTGACTCTGACTTGCGTAACAGACTCCCCTCCTTGGTACTCCTTACACAGCAGGAAGCATGGAACTTTCCGCCCCCCCCCCTCCCCCGGCATGCACCATTTCTCCCTTTCCCCCTGGCCAGGGCCTTTGTCAGCATTTTTTTAAAGCCCGGTCCTGCGATACTCAATTAGCCGACTGAAGCATAACAATGTGTTTGCAGTTTTTCGTCCTGTCGCTACAACTCACGGCTCGGGGCCGCAGGGGACCTCGGGGGGCCTGTGGGGGGAGAATTAAGGCATGAGTCACAGCTGCCCTCCACCCCAGTGAGGATGGAGAGGACTGCCGTAATTAACGGATCCCAACGGAGTACAACGGCCACCTGAACACTTCATATTCAAGAGTTTTTTTTAAACGTTACTGCGACGGTTGTGTACCCAAAGTTGCACTCTATAAGCACCATTATTGGTAAGAGAAACGCTGCACTTTAGCCTGTGTCTCTGTCACACTTTGACTTATACGCTCTCGTTTTCCTGGTAGGTGCTGAAAGATAAATGAAGCCAAAAGGTATACAGAGTAACTGCAAATGGCCGTACAATGATGAGTCACGTCTTAGACACTCCGCAGTCAACTGTCTGGTCTTCCAGTACTCTGCAATTCAAGGGGTGTGATACGTCATGGAGTAGCACTCATGGCTAGTGTCCTGGGGGGGTGTGGAGTGGGGGGGGTAGCAGAAGCCACTTCAGGGCCTGTCTCTCTCCTTTACTGTCATTTGCCCTCTTGAGGGCTCCCGAGTGTGTCATTGTCACCTGACTGGCGGGTCTTGTCATGTCATTAGCGCCCAATCAGGCTGTTCTGATGCGGGGGGGGGGGCACACTCCTAATGGATTAATCAGGCTGGCACTGGCCCCTTTGGTCCCCTCTGCCGGCTGTGCTGGGGGGCAGTTAAGGACCAGGTCCTACCGCAGGACCCCATGCTACCCCCCCCCCCCGCCTAAATCCCTCACATGTCTGTAAATGGCTGTTGGAGCTTTGTTACCATGTGTCACACATACCAGCCTGATGATCCGGGGGGGGGCTCATCCTTCATCCTTCCACCTGCTGCTTATGAAATATTTATCATTATATTATATTGTAACTTTTTACCCTGTCGTAGCTCGTTGGTTTTTCCTTTTCACTGTTTACTTTGATGTATGGCATGAACATGGTGTGGGTCTTGATAGAGTTCCGCGGTCAAAAGGGGACCGATTCTGCTCTAGACCTGAGATGCCAAGGATCCATCTGTATCAATAAGCTGCAGTATTAAGATACCAGCTGTGTAAATTTCGGGTAAAAAACCCCTCGATGCCGTTGCAGTAAATTCATCTTCTTTAGAGCTGCATCCAGCCCTGCCAATAAGCGTTTACGTTTATTTATTTAACAGCAGCTTTTGTCAAAAGTGACATATGTGTGAGTAGAGCTTTGGGTCACGGCGTCGAGTCGTCCCAGAGCAGTCAGGGTGAAGACGATAAGCCCCCCC